AACCTTTTTTTCTGGTTTTTTTTTTTGCTTTAATGTCATTAGACTAACCTATTTCCAAATGAAAGTAAGATCTGAATCCAAGTAATACCAGTTTGTTGCTCTGCTTCTGCACTCATGGCATTGTGAAGACAGTAAATGTGAAATTGTTTTTTTAATCTGTATTTGGCATGAGTCACTTTGCCAATTTGTGTACGTCTGTATGTGTGCACATTTGACTATGGCTTTTGCTTCTGAGGTTGCTTTTGTAGTTGCAGCACTCCAGCAGCATTTAATAGAAGATAACTGTGTGAAATTTGGATCTGCAACTTGTAAAACTTTGGTGCTAACCTAGTCATAGAGCTTGTAAGACCTTCTAAATGGCAATGAAATGGGTTGCTATTGCTAAAAAATTTGTTGAGCTACCCAGGTTTATGCAGAGCCAAAATGTTAAGGCTATAAAGTGGTTGCAAATACAAGTGTTTCTATCAGAGGAAACAATGGTAGTGTTGAAAGAGAGGTAGGGAAGGGCAAAAAACAACAAAAAACTCCAAAATAAGCACTGTCCTGAGAGTGATTTGCATAGAACTGTGTTTAAAAACTTAAAAAGAAAATATTTTCAGAGATGGGCAGATATGAACTAAGTGTCTTGTCATGTGTTAGTGATGGAGAAGCATAACAATGTTAGAAATGGGAATGTGCACATGTCTAGTATTTTGCAAATTGTACTGTTGTATTTGACAGAAGTGCATGTGCACATGTTATATTGTAGCTTTCTCAATGTTTAAGAGGAAAGCATCTCCTTTTCTCTTGTCAATAACAGCAATATATACATCACAGGCCTCTCTCATCTTTCTGAGTAAAAACAAGGTATGTCAATGCTTTCCATTAGATACCTCAGTTACTTTGCCATACTAATACAATAATACTGACTTTTGTCTCTTATTTGTTTAAATACTGGAGATCTCAGTCTTCAACAGGGTTTTCTTGCGTTTGTTCTACTTTTAATATGATTTATTTTGTTATTTATCATATGTAGGTTTAGCATGTCATTAATAACAGTGTTCTGACTTATCCTTAAGGAAGTGAATTGTGTTGCTATTTCTCTAAAAATTGCCAAATGTGAAATCATTTAATCTTTATCTCCTATCTTTATATAATACAATTATTTAAGAATGTCAGTTATAACCTTATTTCCAGACATATTTCATATATTTTATCTATGTGCATTTATTTTAAATAATTGTTTTTATTAGTAGTTTGGTTTTCTCTCAATTAAACATTACCATTCACTTAAAGCCACGCCTTGCCTTTGAAAGACAGTGAAATTTTAAGTAGCATAAGCTTTACTAATGTAAAGAACTCCACAAAACTTGCATCACATGATCTTAATAAATGCATTTTATATAGTTACCAGTCAGATTGTTGAAGTTGCTTTTGTGGATTTTCTTACCATTCACATTTTGCACTCATGAGAATTAATTCATATATTTCTTACAGTTTTTATCAGGATATAAAGCAACTACTATATCTACAAAATATTATGTTTATTCCATGACAATAACTGGTGCTATACAAGAATTTGAAAATCATCTCATATCTTCGTATAACGTTTTGGTGTATCAGACCTTATATTGCTATTATTGCATAGTATTGAGTTATGGTACTACTTTGGGGTATTCCCATCCATCAGACATTTTAGATTTTGTATTTAGGCACCACCCCACAACAACAACAGCAACAAATATAAATAGCTATTGGAAAAAAAAATCACTCCTTTACAAGGAAACTTGTTTATTTTTGTCCGTGAACACTGGTGTATGCACATCTTGTATGACACAGATTTCAGAATAAAGTTACGTCTAGCATATAACTGTACTGCTTATTTATGACTAACAAATAGTAAGGGTTGGACTAAAGTTTTCTCTCTTTGTGGGTAATGTCCTTTTAAAAGAAAAAACACGACAAAACATGTCAAAGAATAAGTTCAGTTCTACCTAATTGGCAAAATATTATTGGCATCAAGTAATTGTATTGCATAAATTGTATGCAGTCTGGCCCCATGCTTCCATTCCAATACCAAACTAGAATTTTGGGGGGAAAAAATGGAATTTTTTCTTTAAGCCAGAATCGCCACCAGCTATCTTAGCTCTTCTTCGTTTTTTCCACATTTCCCTGATCTTGTTCTTGTGCTTATTTTTCGAACAGTGACTCATGGAGTTCTGAAATGCAGTCTGCTCCTTGGGAATCTTCCCAGTTGTTCTGTGTATTGGTGCTCTTTGTGTGTCCCTTTCCAGGTGTCTGTCCCCAGGATCCCTTGGGTTTTAAGGCCTCCTGCCAGAGAGCTGGGAAGTGTTTACTAGTTATACCAGCTCCATTTGAAATCAGGTTTCCAGCTCTAACACCTCCAGAAGCCTGCCAGGAAACAGGGATGAATTAATTTGGATCCTATTAATTATTCTGTTGAATCCCAAACAAAGAAGCTGGGAAATCAACTCGGATTCATGATTCTGACAAATTTCTTTCTGTGGAAAACTTCCAACCACTTCTAGACTTTGCGTTATGTATTGGATTGGTTTCATAAGCATTGCTGAGACTCATCACTTCTGTGAGTACTGTATGTGATTTGCAAAGATTTAATACTTGAGGAAATCTGTTTGTATATTAAAAAAATAAATAAGCTACAGTTGGAAAGCAGGAGAAGCCAACAATTTTTCAGTGTTAAACGTATGGTTGACTGTTTCAATCCTTGATATTCTGATAAAGGAAAGAGTGCAGATAGACTGGTTTTCTCCCTCATAAATACAATCCAAAGCATAACCTTGTTTAAATTCCACGTTGTGTTCTGTTTAGAGCTAACTTTTCCTTTTTTTTTCCTGAAAGTCTTTTTTTCTCAGAACATGCTTTATAAATAATTATTTTTAAATGATGTTGAGCTTTGAAGGACCCTCAAAGCATTGGAAATTCAGACTTGAACAATATTTGAAAACTAAAGTCCTGTAAATCAAGCTTAATTGAGTGGTCCTCTTTGGGATTTGCCTTATTAACAGATATTCTTCACCTATAAATGTTTTTGCCTTCATTAAGTTTACTATAAATGCAAGAAATTTTCAGACAGTCATTTTAACACTGCCTCCCACTACAATTTGCATTATAAAAGTGGTTTGGGTTTTTTTTTCCCCCAAGAGGTCTTGTAATAATTTTAAGTACCAATAAATTACTAATTTGTGGTGGAATATTCCATTGGGGGAGTTTATGTGATTTCGTACTCTGATAACCCTCTAAAGTACATGTGAGAATGAACAATTTCACCTTTCAAGTTTCTACTTAAAAATTCCTGCAGCAAAAAGTTTGAAGAACATGTTAATGTGACTGGTTTTAATCTATCAATGAGTGACAACAACCCCTGTAAGATTAGAAACTTTAATTTGCAGAATTGTCTCCTCTCCCTTTGCAGAGAGAGAAGCTCTTTAGTTCCTTCTATGTTTGAAGAAGGCTTTTAGCTATTATGTGAAGGTTCTTTGTAAACGATCTGAAAGTATTGCAGGACAGCTTCAGCCTGGCATTATTTTAGTGTGCAGCTTAAAATAATAGTGATAGTTCAGTGTCTCACATGCAAGTGGAATTGGCAGTTGCCACATTACATCAGGCCATTGCAGTAATCTAGTCTAGGATCTGGTCTTTGCATCATTCTATTTATTCTTTTTTAGTCTGATGTAAATGATGCTTTTGTAACTTGCCTAAAAGGCAGGAGTTTAATTATTGTCTTGTAAACCTGTCCTGTGTCTTAGCTGTAAGATTATTTAATTTAATTCTTATTCTTATGCTAAGGTTGGTCTCATTCTGATGTTGACATTATGTAGATTTCATACACAGTGGATTTAGACACTAAAATAGATACTATGTTTTAAACTGGTAGAATTCAGTTCAGAGTACTGGACAATTTCAGTTGCTGTTACCAGAGAGACATAATTTGGAAAGCTTGACTGGGCATGGGTGAGCCTAAGCATCACAGTCATAATTAAAATCTCTGCAAATAGATGTTTATTTGTTGTCATATCTGATAAAACTCATAAACAGTAACAGGAGTAAATTATTCACCTAAGTAACAGATACTCAATACTTTTTTTTTTTTTTGCAAACAGGGTAGTAGAACAGGTCTAGGAAAAAAAAAGAAGGTGCTTAAATGACAGATCCACCTTTTTTTGGATAACAACAGAATGGCTGACAGTGGCTTGTTACAAAAATGCAAGGTTGTGTGGACCTCTGCAGGCAAGCTTAAGAATGTGATTAAATTTTCAAATTATCTTGACAACTTGGAATAATGACACACAATAAAATAAGGCATGTTACACAGATATATGCAAAATTCTGGGATAATCAGCTGCACAAACATAGACTAGGATTATTCAGGTTTTTTGTGGAAAAGGGAGGGTAAAGAATAAAGTCACTTATACTGGGGAAGCAGTGTCTTGATATCCCCTTGAGGTATCTCCTAATTCTCTGTTTCCTGATGCAAGGAAGGGAAAGGGCAAAGGACTTGAAAATAAAAGGCTGAAAAAGGACAGATGACTCCTGAGATGAGTATATAGATCCACAGACATTAGCAAATAACTTTTCTCCACAAAGGTAAACTGCAAGTCAGAGGTTGAATGATTCTGTTAAAGAACATCGTTGGGATACAAAATCCCCTGAATTAGTTTATTTAAATAAAAGATAATTGACCAAAAGACTGAAACCTAGAGAAGGATGTGGGGAACTCAATAGATTGCCAAACACATAAGGTGACATAGCTGATGAAATACTGAATATCTTAGGCTGCATTTAAAATTGCAAGGATGATGTATTTTGAAGTGTCCCTGATTCTTTTTTTCTCCAGACCAATGGACATACTGAATACTCTGTGCTCACACCCCTACCCCTACCACCTGCTTATCCCTCTGATGACAGCCAGGATGTGATTTGCTCTGAGCCTGGTGTGAGCACAGTTTAGATATAACTGGAACCATGCTGGAACCATGGGGAATAGTCTTACTATTTAAGATTTTACAGTGTTTAATAGTTAAACTAGTTGAAAATCTGAATGTGGAAAGCAATCAAGATGAAAGTTACCATGAGACAACAGAGTTCATGATTCAAAGGGAAAGAAAGGGATGAAAGAAGCAGAATAATAACACTGGGCTTCAAAAGAGCAAACTTCAACAAACTCAAGGAATTGGTACATGAGGTCCTGGGGGAGGAATTGAATGGCAAAGAAAAATTAAAGAGAGATGAGAGTTTCTAAAAAGATGTCTCTAAAACAGGCCATAATTTAAGTATAACAACTGTCTATCCTCATGCAAAGGAGAGAAAACTGTGGCTGCATTAGGGACTCATCAATGACAAAAAAATATACTGAAAAAGGAGGAACAAGAAGGCTGCATTGTCAAGAATAGATATAAAAGAAGAGCACAGCAGGTTAGGAAGAAAACTGGACAGACAATGCTTTTGTCAGCAAGGGAAAAGCAAAACAATTAAAATGAATTTTTAAATATTTTCTATTATTCAATAAGAACTCTGCTTACTGGGAGAGGTGAATAAGTATCAGATAGTGCAAAAGGCTGAAGTGCCTGCTGTTTCACTGCCCTACCCTCTGAACAATGCCTATCAAGATCAAAGTTAACCAGGACTGCAGGTCAGAATGGGAGATTATCAAGCTAATTAGATGTATTAGAACATTAACTTCTGGTTAAATCTATTATATAATACTAAGGAGGAAAATTGAAATAATATTGAAATTATTGTGGTTTTGATTGAGGAAGAATGAGTGAGTGCCAGGGAACCAGAAAATAATACTGTTTTTTAAAAGTGGGCAAGAGCACAAGAATGAGTGGAAAGGCAAGATAATGACAGAGAATCAACCAAACTTTGATACTCGAAGAGTTACTGAAAAAGCTGTCTAAAAATCTGCAAGCATAGAGACTAATTTAAAAGGCTGACATGCATTTGCCCACAAAGTAATTTTTAAATAACCTAATGGTCCCCTTTGTCAGGGTAACTGTCCCAATAGATAAAACCAGTATATTGTATGTTGAAATCAATAAATGCCTTGACAACAGATCCTTCTGAGCTGATTATGTATTAGGTTGCTAAGATTCAGGTGATGGGATTCTAAGGTGAATACACAAACTAGTTAATACATCATTTCAAGGGGTAATTACCAGTGTTTGTTAAATTGTGAAAGTAAATTGAGGGGGGGTAGGACTACCCATATGTTACAAGTGAAAAGCAGGTACAGATCCCTCAGGGACAAGGCACAATACTAATAAGTGAAAGCTTTGGCTTTATCAAAAGTGTAGCATTCCCACAGTGGGAATCCTGGGGCCCCAGCACTAATCAAGTGGGGGCCCAATGCGTTGCAGTCCTGCTAAGGAGTGAAGCTCGAGGGAAAGCCCTGCAGAAGTGAGTAATGAAACCCGCACTGATTGACATTTCGTACAGATGCGATGTCCTGTTTTGCTCATTAGCTAACTGGTGTAATGCAGGTGCTGCTGTCTGAATTCCAAGATCCACAGATGTTCTACAGCTTGGCAGCCATGCAGATGTGGGGGAAGTAAACTGTCCTGGCTCACTGTAACGAGGTAAAACGTACTTGGTTCTCAACACACTCAGAAACAAGTTATCATAGGTTACAGTAACAACAGGATAAAACCTGCTTGGGACTATACGTACTCTGATGAGGGAGGCAACCTGTCTGAGGTTACTGTAAAGTTTTCTCACGCTTTACTCTGCATTATTATGCGTAGGACCTGGATCAGTTGTGTCTGTGAATTTTACTGTTGAAACACAAGGTGGGATGGAAAGCGCACTTACACAATATACAAGATTAGACCTCACAATAATCATGATAATGGTTTCAATTTAAGCTTTGTCTTACATTTTTGAACAATAAATATTAAATGAAAACTAACTACAGAGCTTCAGAAAAAATCTCTGGGAACCATAATAGTTCACAAGCTGAATATGAACCCCTGTGTACAGTTTTCAAAAAGGAAAAAAAGAGGAAGGATGGGGGGGAGCAGTAGAAGACCTGAGGTGTACTACACAAGAGCTATAGTGAGCTATATGACAGAAAATTTTGCTCTGTTTGGCGCTAGTGAAGCATCAGCAGGAATACTTTACCATTTACACACTGCACCTAAGATACATACAGGCAAAATGAAAGAAAAGAGGACCACAAAAAAATATATGTTTAGAAACATGAAATGAGAAAGACTGAAAGAACTGGACTTATACAGACAAGATTAGATTGAGCAGAACTGTGAATATGAAATGTTGCTGTAAAAAGCTGTAGTAGTTGCAGAGTGAGGGTTTTTTTCATGTTCTGTGAAGTTTAAGTCAAGCACTATTAGATTTGAAGCAAAGGTGATTCTGTGTCAGGTTTTACATTGGAAAGCTTCACGTGAAGCACTGGAATAGGTTACCCTTCTGTAACGCACCTGTAGGATCCCTTTTCCTGTAAGTTTGTAAGAACAGATGAGATAAAACTGTCGTAAGTGCACAGGCCCACTTGTTCCTGTCCCTGTGAAGGGAGAGGGACTCAGTAGAGATCTTCAGTCCTGTGTGTCTCAGTAAAGTAAATTGGTACACATTCAAATACTTAGCTGCAATCAGGGAATGCTATTAATTTGCTTATTAATTTAATTGTATTCCAGTCACTTTAATCTTCAAGGTTTTACTTGCATAAATGATTCATGCTAAAAGCAGCAGAGGGGTTAGAGTTCAAGCCTGCTGTGCACATCCATGTGTTGAGGGAGTCAGCTGCTGAGAACAGAGTCACCATCCCTGGAGTGTTCATGTGTATATGTGGCACTTAGGGACGTGGTTTAGTGGTGGACTTGGCAGTGCTGGGTTAATGGCTGAACTCGATGATCTTAAAGGTTTTTTCCAACCTAAATGGTTCTAGGATTCTGTCACTGCCTCAGCTAAATTTCTACAACTTTTCCCTTCCTTTATGTAGTAATTTCCTGGATGTGAAGTCTCAATATAACCAGGAGGTGGCACAAGAGACCCTTTGCAGACTTTTAGATGTACGTGTCGCGCACTGTGAGCAAAGGTAACGTGAAAAACGGTCTTCCGGACGTCTGCCCATTAGAAACATCCAAACACAAAAAGGCAGGGTTTTTTGTTTGGTTTTTTTTTTTTTTTTTAAATGTGTTTTAAAACGAACATGTATTTGCATTCGGCATTCAACTGCTCCCTTTAATCTTTTAGAGAACACGCAAACACAGCTTCATAATTTTATATCTCAGTTACCCTCTATCCATGTGTAATGCACTCATTCCTGTAAAACCTGGCAAAAGATGTACGCTGCATTGCTTGGAGTAAACTTGGACGTCAAATCGCGGGTTACAGGGGCAGTGTTAAGCATCTTACCTAATTACATTCCTGTCCTCACCTGCTAAGCCCAGGTTTTCCCTTATCAGTAAACTGAGAGGGGATGTCAGGACATGTCTGTGCATGTTTGGTATACAGTGAAGGCAGACTTACTGTCATTTATGCTCTGATGCTACAGTTATGTATCCTGCCAAAGTTATTCTCTTCTTCAGCCAATAGCAACATTTGCAGGATGCTTGATGAAAGTGACTGGAATAAAGAAAATAGGAAGAAATGGTGTATAGTGAGGAATACAGAAGGGGGAAAATAGCTAGAAATGAGAAATGGAGAAGAGCCTTGAAGTCAGGAAAAAAAAAAGGTAACATTTATTTCCGTTTAATTTGAACAGACTGGTTTTGGAGCAGTACAAAGACCTGATTTATATTAGGTGTAAGTTAAAGGAAGGGAGAGTCAGTGAAACATTTTCACTGCTGGGACCAATGCATTTCAAAGCTGCATTGTATGGCATAAACCAGGATGGGCACAAAGGGTGATAGATGACCCAAGGCTGCCCGCTGTGATAGCTCATTCTCCTGCTGACTGACTCATCATGCTCAAATGCTAATTCTAAAATCAAGGGGGAAAATGATTCATTCTTTAATAGCTGGAAGTGAAAAATTACTTTCAAGAATGATAAATGCTTTGGTCAGTGTTGCTAAATTTCTTTAGAAAGTATTTGTGGGAAACATGAATGTAATGAAAAATTTCTGATTTAATGCATTCTTACTTTTCTATGTTGTTCAATGTAACTTTAGAAGTAACCATCATGAAAAAAAATATCCTTCAGCAGACTGACAAAGAAAAAGACCTTGATGTAAAATGTGAAATTAGCCTGTTAGGTTTTGAAAAGATTTCAAGTGTGACATTTTGTGCTCTTAATCAGATTGTTAGTTTGAATGTTCTGAACAGTTACTCAAACCAGTGGGATTTATGTGAATTTGCATATGCACATTATTCCTTCTAAATGCATCTCAAATCTCTAGATAATTCATATTTTTAAAACAACCCAGATCCTAAAGCATATTTATGCATCTAACAATTAATACCTATCTACTTTGGAAAATAAAACCATTTCTAAAGCCCCTTTTCATGCTGCTTCCTTTCAAATAATAGTTTTTAAAGTCTAATTACTACTCTAGACAGAATTAAACCAACTACAGACTTCTGAGTAGTTTTGTTTGAGCAGTGTCCATAGAGATCTCTCTCGATGGCAATATGATAGCGATGAGTGCTGAAGAAGGATTTACATTCCTGAAACTATAATAGTTTGTCTAATAATAAATGAATAATAAATAAATAAATACATCTGGTGCTGAAGCTTGCTTCTCTACCAACAGCCGTACATGTTTTAAATGTAGTCCTGATTTATATTGAATTTTAATTTTTTGATAAGTTTAAATATGGGTAAGGAACCGTTAAAAGCCTCATATGCTTATTAATATTTGCAGCATCTCTACAGAATGTATATCTTTTTAAAACATTTCACTGATTCTGCTTAGCTGCTGGTGGCAGCCTTGTGTTAAGGAGCCATGGGAGCTCTTGGCATTTTGGGTGCTGTGTTGATTTAGATCAATTCTGAACATGATGAAACATTTAATTTTCATCTATGCATTGTCACTATGTTTATTTCAGGCCCTCGTGGTATTTCTGTGCATATGGTCTTTAAATTCCTCATGGAAAAATAGTTCTTATTCTTGTCAAAGAGGAAAGATTATAATAATTGATAATACAAATGGCTTCTAACCATTGTTTTTAGTGCTTTTAAGTCCTAAATAATGATTACTCAGCAATGGAATGGTTGGATAAACACATCAAGGCAAAGACTCTATTGTACAGTAGATGCCAGCAGCCCTTGCTTCCCCGGCAGGCCTTCCCAGGAAATCTGCATGTCCACTGGTGAACACACATCTTCCTGTGTGACATAAACTGCCTTTTTTTTAATCTTTGAGTTGCTTCACTATCTAGCTACTCCAGAGGACCACAGATTCACTCTAATCTGGTCTCCCAGGACCCTCCACTGTTACGGTAAAGGGTCATCTGCTGGTACAAAATGACAGTCCCTTCCTTTGATCTTGTGTACCCCCACTGCAGCAAAGCCAAGTGGTAGCAGTTTTCTCCAGTATCTGTGGGGAACTTAAGGTACTTGGCAACCCTTGACTACTCTCTCTTCAGTTCCCTCATAGCTTCAGTAGAGAAGGAATATCTCAGCACAATCCTGCCCCTCTGCAGGGCTCTGAACTGGCTTACTAGGGCAGAGCCGAGCTTTGGGCTGGAAGATGTGGAGCAGCAATTAATTCTCAAAGGCCAAGCTGTTATCCCAAAATATTTCTATTATCAACTACCTAGTCGGCATCCAAGCAGTACTAGGTAGTTCTGCAGAACCTCCTCAGCACAAAACAAGCGTTGTGTGTACACATTTCTTCAAAGCTGAACAGGAAGGTGCTGACTCCACAAAGAGGGCATCTGTGTATTCTGCAAACATCTGCATAAAGTATTGCCATTATCTACTACGGTAAATGGATCTTCAGACTCCTGCTAGTGGCAATCATGTTGGTATGTCTGAGCTCTTTGTCTCTGCCTCCCTATAGTTGCAGAGTAAAAGCCACTATCTGTTCCTGATCTCTACTCTGACGAATTTCATTAGTGTGAGCAGGTTTTCATCTCATTGGTAATATCACTTGATTTTAAACATGGTATTTCTGAATCACAGTTTAGCAGAAGGTTTTCAAACAAGCATCTAATGAATAATAGAAACAGAAAGAAGGCAGCTTAAGAATTTCAGATAAAATTAAACTAGCATCTGTTAAATGTTGTAGCAGTCATTTCATTCAGAAGTCATCTGCCATCTATCCAGGATATTTGTACATTTTATGTGTAATGGAAATGAGATTTGGTTTAACCTTGTCACAGTGTGATCAGTTTGTGGCTCTGGGAGCTCAGCATATGACACCATCTTTCTGCAGTGCCATTTGCTTTAATACAATGCAATTAATAAACCAGCAGTGTATAAAGACGTAATTTGCAGCTCAGATGATAAAAATGTTTTAAAATATGTAAAGGCAGATGTATCAGTGGATGCTAAAACTCAAGATTTTCTCTTTTTTAGAGCTCCATCATAGGTCATGTATTCTTTTTGTCCTATACAACAGCTTTCCAAGTGTCCTTCTTTGTTGACATAATGGAGATAGACTCTTTCATACTTTAAAAAAATATTTGTTTAGTTATATATAACATACATAAGAATGTAAGTAGCATGTAAGTATATTATTTATAGTTATGTATAATATTCTGTAGATACTAAGAATGGAAATAATTCCAGGCACATGGGAGGTATTGATCTCATTAGGACAGGATTTTACCCCATCTGTGATGCAGAATGCTGTTAAAGTAATCAGAAAGATTTATATTGAGCAGGAAGCTTGCAGAAAAGTTACACTTCCTTTTTCTGACATTCATGAGAGTTTAGTCCTTGGTAATGGCATTTTGCCTGACTGCTGGGAAGGCTTGCCAGGATTCTGCAAGCAGGCAGTGGCACTGGTATTCCCAATACTGACTGGAGAGGTTGCTGCCAGGCCACGTGTTAAGTACAGCTGACTCAAGGGACTTGTCATTTAGTAATTGAGTGAACAGAGCAGATTCCTCTATGTCTCCTCTCCATCGCACGCCTGCTTGGTCTGCTCTATGAAATATGTTGCCAACAGAATTGTCTAATGCTCAGAAGTTCTGGTATTTTAAAACATTTGCTCAGGTTTGTGGTGGGGGTAGTCTTCACATTTACCTAATGAAAATAATAGTTAAGAAATAACCCGTGCTTGGAATATTTGAGGTGGGGAGGGGGAAGACAGGTGTGGGGGGAGGTGTTATAAAATAGAGGAAATTTAAAAGCAATCTTGAACAATTTGCTCAAGTAAACATTCTAAACTTTTCATTGTTAATATAAAAAATGCTTGGGAAGGATATATGGATGAGATTTCAAGTCATTAGATATCTAACACCTTCATATGGTGAAAAAAACCACAAATATATATACATATATATATATATCCTGCAGGGCTTTGTCCATGCTAGAGATGTTTGTGGACTTCTTTAAGTAGATAACATGTATGGGAGATATTAAGGCTTGAATGTTTATTTAGACATGTTTATACCAGTTGCCTCAGTTTCCTGCAGGAAGCTTGTTTAGTGGGCTCAGGCTGCTGCTGCAGTGCATGGTGCAATGTCGATCCCTACCTACACAGGCCAGAAACAAAGGGCTCTGGGAGGGCTCTGGGAGGGCTCTGGTCATGCATGGTTGTGGTTCTAAATCGGTTATTAGACACCTTTAAATAAAGGTGACAATCATGTTTCTATTTTTATTTGGTTAGAGACAAACTCCTGAACAGTGTCATCACTGGTAGAGCAGAGCAGGACTCAGAGTATGCCATGAGGATGAACAGCCAAGGAAAGACAGAGCTTAAAACGTGTTCAGAAGTCAAACTTGAATATGATTCAATGAAACAATTTTCTGGTAAACAAAAACCTGTAGGATTTCACGATGAATGGATGTAGCTACTACATCTGGAGTGGACAAGAGGTTGAAATGTTTGTTTTAGGAAAAGATAGACAAAGAGGTTTGAATAAAACTTTTTACTGGATTAATATAAGGAAAAATATATCTCTTATAAGATTAAAACTGAATAAATTGGAAGATTTAGACATATATCAGGTATGATGGTTTCAGTCTCCAAACCTCTGTCTGTCAGTCTAAGAAATATCTAGAAGCATGGTTACAGTAACTGTTACCGATGAGAAATGCAGCAGGAGTGGCAGAATAACAGGGCCAGTCCCAGGGTAAAGGGACAATAGAGCGCTGGGTTTGTGTGCAGGTGGTAGAGGCAAGAACAAGGACAGACAAATCAGTCATGGTTTCTGGAGGCAGAGTGATATCAAGCAGGGGCATGATAGGAATTATCAATGGTGTGGAAGTTCCACACCAGTTCTTGTATGGGAGGGGAGGGTGAAAAGGAGAGAGAATTCGTGGTTACCCTGCAGTAAAAAACTGCCCCAAAAGTTCCCCAGCGCCGTTTGAGGCCGCTCAGCTCCATAAATGCCATTTGCATGGGGATAGGATGTAACAAGAGCTGTAAATCACTGATGGCGGAGTGAACTCCTCAGGGGCAGACACGGCGGAGCCGAGCCTCCACGAGCTGAGGCAATGTGTGAACGATATCTTTTGTTGGGGGAGAGGACTGATCGCAATTAGATGATACTTATCTGGCCCTTTGATGTGTATTTACACAAACAACGTTTTCCTCCGGGAGTTGAGGTATAAAGTAGGGGCGCGCGCTCTCCGACACCCTCCTTCCCGGCATCTCTGAAACAAGGCAGGATGACCAAGGCCCCTTTCTCCGTCGAATGGTTGTCCCAGAGCAGCCAGGCTCTCAAGAGCCCCACCGAGGGCTCTCCGCATCGAGCATCCTCCGCGGGCCACCGGCCCGGCTCTGGTTCCAGCCCTGGCTCTGGCTCCAGCCCCGGCTCGAGCGAGCGGAGCCGGGAGCAGTCTGCCGGGCCGCGGGCCGGGAGAAGCGGCAGGAGCAGGGAGCGCGTGGAGGCCACTCCCGCTGCAGGTAACCGCGTGTCCGCGGCCGTCGGGGCGTCCTGGAGCTCCCGCGCCGGGGGAGGAGGGCGGGCGGGCCTGGACCCCCCCGGGGCCCCGGGAAGGCACCACTTCGCTGTGGCAAAGGAGTCGGGCGATTCCCTACGCGGTTCCCGGGCGTGGCTGACCCTTTCCTCCTTCTCCCCTGTTCTCAGGAGCAGACGGGCGGCCGTCGGGAGCGGGGCAGCCCGTGCCTGAGGACGGTCCCGAGTGCTCGGGCCCCGAGGAGCCCGGCGGCCGCGGCGGGCGGCGGCTGCGCACGGCGTTCAGCGCCGAGCAGATCAGCACCCTGGAGAGCTCCTTCCAGCGGCAGCAGTACCTGGGAGCCGCCGAGCGCCGGCAGCTGGCGGGCAGGATGCGCCTCTCCGAGGTGCAGGTGAGCGCGGGGGGTACTGGCTGTGCCGTGGTCTTAGTGAATAACGACAGCGTAGTTCTGAAAAATAACAAGATAAAGAACAAGCTGCGTGCCGTTGTAACCTCACCTTTTTTCCTCCCCCCCCTTTGCTTTTCCCCCAGATCAAGACTTGGTTTCAGAACCGCCGGATGAAGCTCAAGCGGCAGCTGCAGGAGTTGAGGACGGAGCCATTCTGCAGCCCCCCTCTCCCTTACGGACCTCAGGGCGGTGTGGTGCCCTTGCCTCTCGCATACGTGGCCCGACCACCACCTCTGCCCCGGCAAGGGGCCGCCTCTGAGGGCTTCACCTTGGCGGCTCTGCCGGCACCCGCCCTGGACCTCAGCAGGGCCTGCAGAACACAGCCAGTAGGCTTTTGGGCGGCACCCTGCTTTGTGGGGTACAGGGATCCCAGAGCTTTCTTGCTGGGTGTCTGACCCTCTGATATGGACTATGACTAAAGAGGATTTGCACTACTGATAGATATTTGGGTTGCCCTTGTCTGTAACTGCCTGGCGGAGTTATGATGCAGCACTGAACAAAACATTTAACAAAGACATGCTGGACAAACTGGACTATGGACTTCAGGCCTCTGCATTTATAGGCAACTATAAAATAGAAACAGAGTGGGACAAACACTAATATAAATGGAATCCTTTAATAAACCTATTTTTTTTCCAGCTTTCATGTGAATTCCTTCCACAGGGATTGTAGAGCTGTTCATTCTGCTCCAAAAGAAAGCTCCTCTTCATTAAAGGAAGCATAGACTCCTCATTATCTAGATTTGTTCTGACCCTCTGCAATTTACTGAGCATGAGTGCAAAAAAGTGTGAATTTCCCCCTGCCTTCTAAAACAGGTATCCAACCCCTTCAGCTACTTCCTAGATGGGATTTTCTGTCATGGGACTGTGCCTTTAACCAAATATGTGGATACACCTGTTACTTAATATTGGGCTTGCTATAGCAGTGGAACAGATGTTTTTGTTGGAGATCCTTAAAAAACATATTTGTAGTATCTTGAGATGTAAAAAGTTGCTTTCTAAATAAGTATGATGATATATCTTCATGCTTTCACGTGCAGCCTCAGTAGGTTAGTAAGAACATCTTGCCTAAACAGATCATGGAAAGGATCTTGAAATTTCTAATCTACAAAATAGTATCTCATCATCTCACATGCAGGTAATGGGGTATGAGAGTGATGATCAAAAGAAATTTAGCATTCCAGTGCTCTTTTCTGTAAGTGGCAGTAAAATTCCTTCCCACTGTGCTGTGCACTTTTAAAATTTGAATAATGTTCTAGTAAACTTATGGTCAAAATGGCCTGATTTCAGGCCAGAGAAAGGGCTCTGAGAAGTAAGTGATCCTTGACTCATGCAAGTTGACATAAATCTTTCAAAGTCAATTGTCAACTAACATGAAAAGAGCAAAAAATATTTCCACTTTAGAGGTGATTTCAGGGATTATTGAAAGATTTCCAGTACATTTGTAATCTGGGTTTCTGTAATGAATGGTCTCTGAAGGTTCTCTGTCAGTATCCTTGAAAACGCCTCTTTTCTTTTGTGTACAGGGTCCAATCTGCCACTTGAGTACATTTGTCTAGTAAAAAGCAACCCGCTGCGGGCAGCGGGTTTTGCAGACACATTTAGAAGTCTCATTAATTATTTTGTAATCCGTGCTGTATTTTTCTAGCCTTTTGAGATACTACTATTTGTTTGCAATTGATTAAAATTCCCATTCAATGGAGGCTTATTTCTCGAAGTCAGGTATTACTAAACTCTTATTTATTCGAAGAAATCTCTCAGACTCCTTCAAATGTCATTAGGAAACTGGAATGTCTCCAGAAAGGTCTAAAATGGTGAATATTTTCCTCTTGCTCTAAAGCAATGACTTTTAAAATACCAATATAGTCAAGGCCAATAAATATATAATTTACTTTTAAAAAAGTGTTAAGCGTGAGAGTCGATGTGGCTATTCCGTTTTCAAGAGCATAATTGAAGGGTTAGGTGTTCCCTTTATAATCTTGTATGGCCACAGTGGAGAACCCCGTCTCTACTCCAAATGCTCCGCTCACCCCGTACGAAAGGAACAGTAATAGTTCCTCGTGCTCTCAGAGGCGAGAGCGGCGGTCTGGGGGGCGAAGGGAGGGAGCTCTGAAGGGACCGACGGGGACCGGGACTACCTGCAGCGTTGCGGGAGCACCCCAACCCCGGACCAAATGGGGAGAGGGTGAAAGGAAAGTGGGAACGGGCAGCACCGCAGCTGGGCCTGGGGAAAGTGAGAGACAGATGAAAGGACTCAGGAGGAGAGGGGGAGAACAAAGTGCTCCCACCTGCGGAGTGGAACTGTTTCCGTGGGGACAGGGATCGTGCGGGGGAGGAGGGGTGTCGCCGTCTCCCCAACCTAAGGGTAATGAGGGAGAGGCAGGAGCACACTTTATCGAGTCCCCAAGTGTTCCCAGTAAGACGTCTTCTGGGGCAGCTCTGTCTGGGCCCTCATCCCCCGGATCTGCCCTCCCGGCCCCCGGCACCGCTGCAGTCCCGGGTCAGTCTGGCCCGTCCGAAGGGGCAGAGGTGCGGAGCCGGCCCCGGGCTGCACCCGCTCGCCCCCGAGCTCGGCTCGACCGAGCGGGGGAACAGTTTCCCCTCCGTGCGAAAGTTAAGAGCAAGACAAGAGACAATGGGAGCTGCTCGGAGCAACACTTAGTGCTGCGATCCTTGCCATGATTTAAGCCCACGGGGATGGTGGGGTCCACGCCGGGACAGGCGGGGCTGTGCGGCCAAGCTGCACCGACCACGGGGCAGTCTCGGAGGTGGTGGTTCTGCGTGCGGGGTGGGTGTATGCGGCTCCCCGTGTCCCGGCTGAGGCTGGTGCGTTTCGTGCCAGGGGCGAGGGCTGCTTAGTGGCACTAACGGGGTGACCTATCTCTGGGCGTACGAGCTGCAGAACGGCTGGAGAGACAGAAGCCGGTCTCTGAAAGAGTGCTAATGGTCACTTAACATAATGACTCCTTGGCCACATGTATACTTAGCAAGCACTTGAAATGCCTCACCAGTGTTTTGGCAGCGCTAGCTTGCAAATATTGCTCCGTTTCCCGGCAATTGCTCAAATGAATTCAAGAGGTGATGCTCACTTGGCTGAGTGCCTAGTACTAGCGGATTCCTCCGAATAACCGCATAATTCCTCTTCCACCTGCAAAAGTCAGCTTTCTCTAGAAGGTAACTACTACATTCCAGTGGTCTAGAAAACTATACGTGAAATTATTTATTTTTTTGCTAAAGTGGTCCAATTCTCGCACTAAAACATGAATGCAAGATTTTCCTTTTATCTTGGAGAAAGAAAGTCAAACTTCGTGCTTTATTCCTGCTTGTTTGAATTTCTCATCCACTGTGTTTTATTCCTGGCAGCAATAAAGGGGCGCTGGTGTCAGCGCAGGCCCTCTGCCCTCTCGCAGCCCCTCGCAAGAGATCGGAATAGTCTGGCTCCTCCCGCACCGCACCCGCCGAACACCCCCGCAGCAACCTCCGAGCCGCCCCACCAGCACAGTGGGGAGCAGCCCCCCAGTTTGTGTCACATCACAATAAACCCCAGCATCGGAATGCTCTCTGACAGGACCAAGCGGTGTGGGCAAGCCAGCTACAAATGGGGAGGGGGGTGGAACTCACAACAAAAACCAAAAAGGCTGAGTGGATTAGCTGGGGAGGAGCAGTTTAAGGAGCAGCTTAATGCTTCTGGGGGTGAAACTGCCGGAACTCCCGGCCCGACGGTTCTCGAGGAAGAGGCTGTATAACCTGGAAACTGGGCTCCCCCGGGAGGAAAAGAGAATGGGAGGGGGGGAAATCGCCAGCACGCTAACTTCAAAGCCTTTGTCCCCTGCAGTGCGTGAGCGGAGGGGGAGCAACATGATTGAATTAGCACCGCGGGGTGGGGGAGCCGCCGGCAGCCGCGCACGGTACCGCCCGTCCCAATTTGGCTAGAGCAGCCATCAGGGGACTGGGAATAGGATCGGGGTATATCACCCCCCCGCAGCTCCCAGACACGGTGGAGCCGCTCCAGGGACCTCTTCAAAAACCAGGTGAAGTTATTCGGTGTTGTGTGCTAATCGAGAGAGATCTCACACTGTCAGGCCATTACATCTAATTGCTGCCCATTATCTTTTTCTTTGATAAGTAATTAGATGACAATTAACTTGATAAATCCCACCGAAGCGGAGGGAGAAATAAAGAGGAGAGACCTCTTGGTCTCGACGTGTTCCTTGTGTAGACTTTGCTACTTTTCCTTTATAGCTGTCTCTTAAACTCCTAGGCTTCGACCTGGTGTTACCCTGTAACAGTACTTAGTAGGGAGCTAATCCTACCGTCTCTTTGGTATTCAGGCAGGTTAAGTGCTTTAGTTCTTATTTCAGCTCTTAGTTATTCTACCTGTACAATTCTGAACAACTGTGGAGGTGTCACAAGTCCTCAGGCAAGGTAGCAATGGCGTGCATAGAAATTCAAGTACTAGTTTGTTTCGAGCTAACTTAACTTATCTGGGCTCTTTGTCTACTAGTTCTGCAAAGAACACAGAAATATTTCCCCGATAATGTTTTTTTTTTTTAATGCAAAGTGAGTGTTTGCTCCCACAGTCGCTGAATGGGAGTATCTGGGCTTGCAGCGTGTGAGCCGGGAGGGAAGAGGCTGCCGGGTGAGTCAGTAGCATTTGTCATTTATTGTGTGTTAGCCCGCATTGTTCCCGTGGGCAAAGGAGCGGCGGGGTGATGGCACTGTTAGCGTTCACAGGTACTTCAAACAGAAAAGCATCTATTCCGAAACAATCGATCTCGTTGATGCCTAATTGACTATCTAATAGCACCTATCAGGACATCAAAGGAGAAGCTGAATAACCGAGTTAGCATTTCCAAAGGAGAACAGCGGAGGGTACAAACAGCCATCAGCTATCCCACCGTTCGGGAGCCCAGCCTGGGCCCTGCGGCTGGCTATGGGCGTAGGTTTCCTATGGTCCCGTCTGGAGCAGGGCAAAATATTTTGTCTGCACTTTTAGCCATGTTAAAACCTCGCTCCCTACAGTAATTAAGCTTACTTACTTCTGAAGGGCTGCCACACTTCCCCAAGCTCTCTCCTCCTGCCCATTCGCGCAGCTAAACGTATTTTGGGGGGAGGATTGAGTTTGTTTGGTTGGGAGCTTTTTCTCCCCTGGGTGGGGCGTGTGCCATTGCAGTTCTTACTGCATCGTCTATCACCCCCACTTCTCCAGTTTTGTCAAGAAGATATGGGTAAAATCTAGGCTTTTCAGAAAGATAAATGAGATTTGCCTACGATGGAGCCAGTAAGTTTGCAGCCCAGGAGGTCCCAGGTCTGGTGGCCTAGTACATCAGCTCCTAGTCTATTATAAATGCTATGGTAGAAGGAAAGTTTGAAACATGAAGATTCACCCTATTATGCTAGCAATTATTTTTCTTGAGAAGGACTACTCTTCTGTTTGCCAAAATGTGGGCACTTTTTTCTTAAGTTTTCATGCAATATCACTGTGATGGTTTGTTGAAGGCCTGGGCACTCCAGAGGCATTCCTGGGCAATACAAGTACTTCAGCCTCTAGCAAAGGGTGAACTTCTAGTACCTGGTGCAGGAGACACTGCAGCCTGGACAACAGACTAGACCTTCCCTGCCATAATACCTTTGTGCTGTAGAGCTGCTGCAGCTCTGTCTGTTCTCATGGGTTTATATTCCGTGTGTGCACAGAGCCTCAAATGAAATATTCCCATGCTTACCAGTGAGATAAATCTACCATTTGTCCTTACAAGACTTGTAGAGCTCACATGAAAAGAGCACTCTGTCCTGATGACCTCAGCTGTAATTATCAGAACATGGCATTAGTCACTGCACCTAAATTTCAGGGTATTATACTGAGTTACAAGAGTGCAGAAGATATCAGTCAATTTCTTGAAGCAGCAAACATGTTTCTTATGGTTGTAAGGCTTACGTACAAATGCAGACCAATAAATATTTTGAAATGTGATTTGGTGAAATGTGTGCACTATGTCCTAGATATAAAACAAGTAAGAAAAATATGTATATTTTGCAATATAATACAGTATTCCAAAGTTCTGAGTATACAGAATTCCATGTGAAAAGATATAATTTCCCATAAAACTTAGACTTATTTTTGATCATGGTTATATATCACACCAATTGAATGCGGTAAAAACTTCAAGTAATACAAAATAATTGAGGTAAATTTGTGTCTCCTATGAGCACCAAACTTCTGCAAGGTAAGGGGAAGATTTAACTGCAGCTGCAGGGCCTCTATCCACCCAGGGTCCAGGGTCATTAAAGTTTTCAAGTTTCTCAAGCTGCCACCTCTTGCTGATGGGAGTTACAATAGCCACATAACACCTTCCATACTCTTTCCATCTGTTCCAGGGTTTTGTGGTCCACAGATGCCGCTGCTTTCATCTGGAGTGGGGGGGATTCTAGAGTTGGGTATAAATGTCTTGCTAAATAAGCAGTTCTATAAAAATGAAAAATCAGTTTTCATTGACTTTCAGCAAAAGGTGGGACGGGTCAGCTGCTTTCCTGCGTTTTTAGCCAAGTGAGAAGAGGAAATGGCAGCAGGTCTGCAGGGTTAAAAATAGTTTCCTTCTATAAGATGCATAATATATAATATATGAATGCCAACATTGGTCTCTTTGGGCACAGAACTGAATGGTCATCTCGTGTCTGGTTTAATTTTGGCAGCTGATGAAGTGTCTCTCCCTAGATGGTAGTCACTGGATGTCTCTGTGTGCCCAGGTGAGGGGACTGCAGTGCATAGGTGACTCGACTGCTTGGCTTGGCATAGCTTTCTTCTGCTGGAGAAACGGTGGGGAAGACTGCCCTGGTGGAAGCACTGGGGGCCATGCTGCTTGCTGGTAGCTGTGTGCTCAGTTTAGAAGCTCCTGAGTCTCAGTGGTTTTTAGGTATTACTTCTAAGCTTGCTTCTGATGAGGCAGTCAGGCTCTGCAGATAATGCACAATGCTTTACAAAGGAGAACTTGCTGTGAATGTGTTTATATGTGGCAGTTTTGCTGCTTGGAATTGTCCACACATGGGGTTATTTAGAAATGGCTGGCCTGAAATAAGATGGAAAGTAAGTATAATAGAGCATTTGCTTCAGAAAAAGAGGGACCATACACAGGTGGAATAGTTCAAGAACAGTTATTCGATCCTGAAGTTATTAAAATTAATGTGCAGGCACTTAGTTCTTTTAGGGAACAGTGAGTGACTATCCCTGCTTGACTGAAATGTGTCTAGGGTTTATATGTTCCCCTGTTATGGTGGTTTTGTTTGGGTCAGTGGCACTCACAGGTACGTGGTTCTGACCCAGTGTAGGAGTTTGGTCTCCGGCTATATTCAACTACTTGGACGTTTGCACTGGCTTGCGCGTATCAGCCAAAACGACAGTCTTGTGCTAGCATTAAGTGAACCTCCTTTAGTGGCTATGCCCAACACCCCTTAAGGAGCCAGTCAAACTCTTTGTTGGGGCTGTGCCGGGCAAGAACAGCCTCCCCCATCCCTGCTCTTAGGGGCTGATGTTGCAAGGAAAGCTCCAGGAGGAATCCAGCTCCTGGGCTGTGGGCTTGGTTAGGTGTTTGCGTTGCTCTGGTGCTTGTGTTTTATCCCTCCCCCGAGGCCAGTGTGGGGATAAGCCACCTTTGTGAGGTTGGGAGGGGTCGATAACTGCATTGTCCATTCCTGCGGCCATGGACTTACTGCAACACTTGAGACAATGAAAATGTGTGGCACGAATATGACTTTTTTTCCCAAATGATTTTTCATAATAAACTAGGGAGTTGGTTTGGTTGGGGTTTGATGTGGGAACTTAGATTATTGCTATGTTTTAGAAAGAAACAAGCTCCTGCCCTGTTAGACCCAGGTTTATGGTGCCCACTCCTTTTGGTTGTGCATCCCAGCAGGATCTCTGAGGATTTTGGAATCCCCATTGAAACTGGGGTTCTGTCAGTGCATTTACCCAGTTACAGGCATGGTGATCGCTTCCACTTGTCTTCAGGAAGCATCGGGGTTAGAGTATGTGTTATTCAAGTATCACTATGGCCAGTGCGGTCATGGTCGGTGCAGTTTTTTCACCAGCGTAGCTAAAAACCCTGTGAAAACTGAACATAAGAAGAACTCGAAGACGATCTAAGTTGTCGTTATGCCTCTTTCCCCAGCCAAGCTTTGCTGGCGGTGGCCTGGTGTCCTCCCTGCATTACAAGGGCGTCGTCCTTCTCGGGAAGCGACATGTGGATTGGGATAGTATGAAGTTGATGAGGTGCGAGCTCCGCTGCTCACTTAGTCCTTTGATCTCTAAACGATTGGGGAGATGGGTTGCTCTGGCTAGACAGATGGCGCCAAGTTCAAGCTGAGAAGGCCCGCAGCCCTGCTAAGCCCTAGCCTGGCTCCAGTCCCCGGGAGTGAGGGCTTAGCCTCGGGGATAGGGACTTCTTGATATCGCCCCCCAATGGCTTTTCCCATGGAGGCCGGTCTCTGCAGCTCCCTTAATGAGCAGTGCCCGATGGCGGGGCTGCCAGGCTCTGCCTGAGTTTCGTTATCCCTCATCCCGGCCCCGATGGTGTTGGACCGGGCCGTCTCGGGGCTGGTTTCGGGCATCTGTGAAATGTGAGACCCAGTAATCGAAAAAGGAATGGTAAAACCGCGCCGTTACCGACACCGATGATGTCTTTAAATGCCTGTTTGCGGGGCTGAGCCCGCCCGTGCCCTGCCCTCCAGGGGAGAGGGACAGGTTTGCACTTCAAGGGGGTCTCCCCGGCCCCGCAGACACGCTGGAGCCAGGGGCTGTAGACATTTGCCAGACGTGTGAACTTTCCTTCTCGCTGGTAGCTGTTATCTGTGCTCGATTCCCACTTTGATGTGTGTTCACACTTAGAACTACCCCGCCCGGGACCGGAGGGCCCATATAAGAGCGAGCCGAGTCTTACGGTCCTCCAACCCATCTCAGCCATGAACCAGGCCCAAATTCCTTCGGCAGAGACCAAGCCCCACGGGGTCAGGCCCCACATCTGCTGTGTGCCCCCTCCCTGCGCCCCCACCTCGCTGAGCAGCACGCCCCTCCTGGTCAGAGCCAAGCCCCGACGAGGCGACCCGCAGCCGAGCCAGCCCGCGGAGAGCGAGCCCTGCCCCGCGGAGCGGATCCCAGACGATCCTGGAGAGACCACCGACTCGGACCCGTCGGACTCGGGTGCGTAAGGAGGGAACAGAAATGGGGGGGGGGGGCGTGCCGGGGACACACACGGGACCTCGACCCCCGTCGGTGCAACGGCCTGTCAGGGCCGAGAGGAGGCGGAGGCACTTCCCAGGCCGGGAAAGAGGCCTCACTACTGCCCCTTCCCTCGTCCTGTGCAGCCCCCGACAGCGGCTGGTTGAGCGCCGACGAGTCCTCCGGATACGAGAGCGCGGAGCGCTCCGCGGCGGCGGGCGGGACCCGCGGGCGGCAGCGGCGGGCGCGGACCGCCTTCACCTCTGAGCAGGTCTGCCGGCTGGAGAAGACCTTCCAGCGTCAGAAGTACCTGGGGGCCACGGAGCGGAGGAAGCTGGCGGCTGCCTTGCAGCTCTCGGAGATCCAGGTGAGTCCCGCAGGAAGAGGATCCTTCCCGGCCCCGTCGGGCAGGAGCAGGCCGGGTCGGCCGTTTCGCTTCGGTGCTCTCTGCGATGAAGAGACGATGAAGAGCGGTCTTCAGCTGAATTTAGCAGGGGCTGTGGGATTCCTCGGGGATTAACAAGTTACACTCCAGGAAATTTGAGGCACTTTCTACCGGGAAGGCATTAAGGTTTCTTAATTTCTTAGTAAGGTAAACTGTCTAAGCGATCCACCTAACCTTGCAGAGCTCATATATGGTCTTTAAGACTCTAAGTGATTAATCTAATATCGCTGAACACAGACACGCTTCCCCTGTACATCCCGTAGGTCCTCAGCCGTCGGTTAAGTAGGGCAAGAGAATCAGTCCAATTCTTGTCAATTCCAACTGAAGCAAAATGGCAAAAGCAGCTGAGATACAGTTGTTCATAATTTGCATGTTATTTATTAAGCAAAGACCCTCATTTGTTTTCTCCATCCCCTCACCTCGTTCTTTTTGTTTCTCAGATCAAGACCTGGTTTCAGAACCGGAGGATGAAACTGAAGAGGCAGATACAGGACCACCAGCACAGCCCCGTGTCTCCTGTTCCACTCTACAGCTACCCCACGGGGGCCTCACCAGCTCTGTTTCAGGATGGTCTCCACTACCCCTTTGCTCTCCAGCACCAGAGACTCCTGCCTTTTACCCCGGTGCCTGCTGTGCAGTTCAGCTTCTCCTTTCCCAGATATGATGCATCGCAAAGCACCTACCCCTTCATAGGAAATGAGCTGCCGTACTATCATCAACACTTTCTTCCTCATCCCTCTTTCCATCCAGTTATTCAGAACAAAATGGACAGTCAGTGCCACCTTGTATATGCATTATAGTGAAAAAGAAAAGGGGCGGGCAGCAGAGGGGAAAAGCGTTATATGCTGTAACGTATTTTGTGCTCAGAATCCCTAGTCTGATTTGGAAGAATATGTCTTTATTATTTTAAGTTAAATGTGAAAATGAATAATTTTATATTTTATAATTAATGTTAAAATTTATTTGATGTATTGCCACTTCTACTTCTTTGTTTCATAGTTTATTAATTTTTAAAAACCTGGCAGTCTACCCTCCAGTCAATAAACAGTATACTGAAAGGAACCTGCTGAAATGAAACTGGAGAGAGAAATGCAGTAGTAGAAACTTGCTTTTTGCTGAATTTCCCGTGGTGTAGAGCAAAGTTATTAAGTTTAGTCTGAAGTGTGTTAAGTAACTGGTTTTCATTGCACATCCCCAGTTTTCCATAAATATATATTTATAAATAAAATTGAATAGTTACATGTCAACTACATAAAGGTTTCACTTGGGCGATGTAAACAGCAATGGTCACTTGTCCTCCTGTTTTTGGGAATGGATTTAGATGTTTTAATACATCTTATGTGACTTTCCTACACTCCCACTGAGATACAGTCTGTTATTAAGCATGTTTGGTAGCCTGGACAGAGGCAACTGTACCCAGTTGCATTACGCTGTGCTTTTGGCTAAGTGCATCCTCCAGGAGGAAGGATAAGCTTTTGGTGAGTTTCTCTTTGAATATAAATCAATTATTGCTTTACAATTCCAATTCCATCTTCCATGTGAAGCCAGCAGCTGTGTTAATCACCAATATTAAGTCAATGTGTCTTTAAACAGGAATTAAACAGATCAGTTCTTCCCTATGGAATTTAAAGTTTTACAATTGCCAAAACAAATACTTGGCAAAAAATACTAAGAGTGTAATTGTGTTCAGTTCAAAGCCTTATCATCTGAACGGGATTTTAACCTGCAAATTTGGCCTTTTGTCTCACCACTAAATATCAATTCTAATTGCATATTTTAAACATTTTTTAGTAAATTGAGCTACTCCCTTTAGATGTGTAAAGGGTTCAAATTTTTATTTTGGCAATCTTGAAATTGGTTCTTCCTGGGATCAGTTTTCACTACTCTCCTGAAAGTGCTCAGTTAATATTCCTTATTTCTTGATCTTCTAGATTTTATATGAAGTTTCACTAATTCACCTGAAAGATCTTTTAAATACATTAGTTGATTGCTGCATTGTAGTCTAAATTTCCCCCCCCCTCTGCCTGTAATGCACTGAGTAATCAAAAGCTTTGATTTAATAGCCCAGGGACTCCTCAGTTGTGAAAAAGTTACTTGGAAGGGGTAAAGGGAATCGTTCACAGTGACTGAGTTCACGGTGACTGCCTAGCTGCGTCTGGGATCAGTGACGCACTGAGAAGGGGTGTGGTGGGGGAAATTCCTTCAAGTGTCTCCCAGCCTCCTCCGTATTATCTACCAAAGACTGATTTGAACTTTGCACTCCTTAAGCCCCACAGCACAACGCGGCCGGGGTTGGGGGTGGGACGGGTATGAGAGCGGAGGAAGGAAGAGAGGAGAAAAGGTAATGCATAGTACAGGGCTGTTGCAGGCTTTTTTTTCCCAATGAGCAAAGGAAGGGAGCATTTGGTGGGGTTTAGGGTTTACTTGTTTGTTTTGTTGGGTTTTTTTTGGCAGGCGAAGGAGTGTATTACTTTTTCTCTCTTTACAATTACAGAGTGGTCTGACCATCACCTAGTGAGCAAGGTATAATGGTCTGGATCAGGGAAGGAGATGTAGTCACACCTGCTGCACTTGATTTGTGCTGATGCGGAGTCTCTTGTTCCTCATTATTCTCTAAAGGCTTGGCTTTGCCATTTTTCATAAAGATTGCTTTGGGACTTTTAGGAACGCCCCTGACTGTTCCTAATAGCAAGCCTAAATGAATCCTGCAGTTTAAAATTAGAGAGGCTGTCAAGGTAAGGCTGAAACTTTAGAAGTTAAAACCGAAATATTTTCTTTTTGAGTGTCCCAGGAAATCTGAACTTGTGAACAATTCTAATGTTCTCATAAGCAGCTTTTAATTACAAGTATGCTTGACATTGGTATCAACATACATACTTGCCAATGAATTCCTTAGCCTCACCTGTTTTTAAATGCATAAATAGAATATGTCCATCAAAACCCAGGTGAAACCCCTTTAGGAATGGTGCAGAATATACATGTAAAAGACAATACCAGGCAATTTGTTCAGTTTTGTTCACAGAGTTGCCACATTTGGTACCATTTTAATTTAAATGCATTTTCTGTTTCTTCCGTTAAACACCCACACTCAAGTTGAATGGACAAAGTTTTTAAGACCGTTGTCCATCGCATGATATAGTTACTATGTAAATTTCAGTGTGAACAGTACTCCACTCTTTCAGTGGAGATCCCTACATGATTATAGGTTGTTTTCTGAAAACTTTTGGATAGGAAAATTTATATAGAAATTGCCATACAGCATAGCAAAAACTGTAGGAATAAAAGAAAATTTCATGTCCTCCACTTCCACTTTCAGTATTACTTCTCTAATAGAGATAAATTATATTCTCCTCCAATCAAACTTTGGGTTTTATATTAAAGAAAACAATAGAACCATCAATCTATTTAATATAACAAAATAAGTTAAATAGTTACTCTTAGAGATATTTGGCAGTTCTTTTTTAAATCACACATGATGTTTGACATTTTTAACAGGAAGGAAAATATGACTGGGAAGTCAGTCTTTTATGTTCAGTGGTTAGAGTCACTGCTGGAATTACAGAAGAGTAACACGGTAATCCTGGGCTTGGAGGCAACTGTAAAGATGGATTTGGCAAAAATGGCTGATGAGACTGAGCCAAAACAGAAGGTAACAAAACAGGATTTAGCACAGTTGGATGAAGTGTAACAGCAGAGGTAGAGACGTTGACACACATCCCGTGAGAATAGCTGGATGTAGCCATATCTGAGTAATAATGATGGGGCAAAAATAAGCCAGAGAAAAGAGCTTCGATCCTGGCATCTTGGGTCTGACGTTTAAACTTCATGCGACGATTCTGAAACCAGGTTTTTATCTGAGGACAAGAAAAAAGAGTCAATCCACTTTCCCCTTTTCCATATAGCAATACATCCCGAATGCAGATTTAGTATTGGAGTAGCAGAATACATTAACAGCTAAGGGCTAATAACAGTGGTCTATATTCAGTGCAGAGTAATTGTCTTGACATGAGGAGAAACCAAGCTGTGAACACTCCATGATGCATGGCAAGCCAACCACCTAGGTTTGGACTGGGGCTGTAACTCAAGACTAGTGCAGTGGGACTAGAAGGGCTGGGCAGGGGTAGTTCTGTTCGAAAATCCTGCAATGTATCTATCAAGTAGATACACGACTCTGAGTGAGAAAGAATTAGCCTGCAAATTGAAATTCTGGAGATTGTGCAAGTATTTTTACCCCCCTCCCCCCACGAAAGTTTCACGGTTTTCCATTTGCACCTTGTCTCTGGCGGACACAGCAGTGCCAGCCTAGACAGGGGTGTCAGCCCCGTTTTCTGCCAGCGGGGCGAGACTGACGGAAGGCCCGTCCTGCCGCACCTGCAGGAGTTGTCACTGTCACTGCCCCCGTCCCCGCGGTGACCGTGAGATGCCAACAAACTCTACCCGTTTCCCCCCGTCGGGCGGAGGGCGAGGCGGTCCCGGGGGCCCTGGCCGCGCTCACCTGGCTCTGGGAGAGGTTCAGCGCGGCCGCCAGACGCCGTTTCTCGCCGGCGCCGATGTAGCGCTGCTCGCGGAAACTGCGCTCCAGCTCCTGCAGCTGCGCGGCCGAGAACTTGGTGCGGGCCCGCCCGGGCACGGCCCCGCCGGCCGCCTCCGCTTCGTGCCCGGGGCTGCTGCGCTCCGCGGCCTCCCGGTCCCAGGGCGCCTCTTCGGGGACAGATCGGGAGGTCTGGGGGGGCGACCCTTCCTTCCGCGGGGCCCGGGCCCCGCGGGCGGTGCCACGACCCGACGGCCCCGGTGACCGAGGGGCACAGCGGGACCCATCGAGCACCGCGGGGCTCTCCCCGGCGCAGCTGCGGCTGCTCTGAGCCAACCAGTCCACCGAGAAGGGCCCCTTCTTCATGTCCCCCCAGTGCTGCCAGCCCTCACTGGAGCCGCCTCGACTATCAGGGCAAACATTTAAACCCCCGGCGCGGTTTGAAAAGTCCCAAAGCATCAAATGAGTCCGAGGACAAAGGACCTCATTGAGAGGCTCTTTAATCTTCCCTTTCAGGTGATTGTTACATCCGCCTAATCTCCGAGCGCAGTAGTCAGCAGAACCCAAGGCTGCCTGACCTGGCGCCAAGTTCACCGCGGAGTTGTCTCCTCACCACGTAGGTGCTGGGAATTGCATCACGGCTTGTGCTCGTCATGCTGCCCAAGCTGCCCTCGGCCCTCGAACCGCCCCGTGATTTTTAATCTTCATCTGCTAGTAAGAAGGACAGGGATGCAGAAGGGACTGATAACGAAGAACGGGGAAAAGCCTTCTTTATGAGCCTTACACCCAAATTTTGAACCCCTCTTGCTTGTTTGATGCATGGTTTGAAAGAATCCCCTTGCTTTTCTATCAACAAAAGGAGGTAGGGGCTCGAGGTAGGAACAAGTAAGTACTCCTCGACAGGTAGAAATCATGGAGAAACACTGATACTAGTGTCTTGCCAATATGCTTGTGAGGAACACACTGCTCTTTATTAAGTCGGGGTGGGTAGATGATGTTTGAGCTCAGAGTTAGTTGTAAATGTAGGGTTAAATATTTTGCAGCTGCCCATGAGGCAGAGTGCTGCAGTTAGGACTCTCATCTTCCTCTGAAGTGTGAGGTACGCTTGTTTTCAGTTGACTTTAGTATCACACTTTTAAGAAGTTTTCAGGAAGAGAAAGGTTGAAACTAGAGCACAGCGGCATGGCAATTTGTTAGGCCATTTGCAGAAAGTAAGGTAGAGTTTTGAATAATTTGAGTTCATTCTTATGAATTTATTTAAGAATAAGA